CGCAGCACCACAGTTTCTTTAGAAACTTACCCCTTTATTTCCATACATATCCTTTTAAATTAAAAGCAAAGCAGAAAGACCAGAAACTGTGACAAAAATACTACAAATATTATATAGTTTCATCCCAATTAGAAATTACTGGTACACAAAGGTCTTTGCTTCGCTACATTTATTAACATTACATGCATTTCCTGCAATGAGCACCCAGGCTTGAATTATTTCAAGTTGTGGCTTAGAGGAGGGGTGCTTATCAGAAGGAAGTTGCTTAATCGAGGGAGTGTTAGTACGAAACTAGAGACTCTACTGATTTGGCTGTAGTTGAAGCTTTATAGAGTTATAAATATAGTGGTAATAGAATCAGGTTTTCCATTTATTTTGGACAGTGGACAGTCCATTTGATTGGGGGGGGGGTGTTAGTGTTCTTGCTTGCTCTGTTGACCTAGCTCACAAAAGTACCACCTAAAATCAAACAATTTGAAAAGAAATTTAAAATGCCAACAAAATGCAAGAAGGGTGTAGTGAGGGAAGAGTTGTAACTTTAAGGGGAAAATGAAGACCAAGTAAATGTTTTAATTATAGAACTGTTATCAAAAAGGGCCTTGTTCAAACACAAATTTCCTATTTAGTTTAACTGCATAATTGACAATTGAGATTAATTTGATACACTTGTCTTGATCTATAATGTTAGAGACTTTTCACCAGAACTGATAGTTATTCACTTGATTGATGTTTTAATGTGGGGTTGAAGCTTGGTCGATATTAATTGTGTTAATTGTGTCAAGTTTCGGTTGTGATTGAAAATGCCTGTTGGCCATTACTTTCAATGGTATTCAGTCGCGTTGTTCTGTTTGTTACCAAGATTAGTAAATAAATAAAAAAATAGTCCTAACTGCTCGTTAACAACACAGCTAAAGCGAGGCCTTGACTTGGTTTGTTTTCAGTTGCTCCAAGTGATATCAAAGGACAGGATATGAAAGTTATGCTACAGAAAATAATTTCCTATTGCCTTAGCAGTTTGGAAAACTTCCATAGTTTAATCATGTTCTATGACATCTGAATCACTAATTTGCAGTATTCACTGACAAGCCCTTTTCTTTGTTCTAGAGATAATTGACAGTTATCATAAAATGTCATGCTTTGCAAAGTTTACTCACCTTGAACAGACTTTGTTTGTTCATTCCCGTCAGTTCTTTTTTTCTCTAAAGAGGTGTTTGGAGCTTTTTCTGCGGAGAAAGGAGAGAAATGTCATATTATGGAATGCTACCTGGTTTGGAAAACTGCACATAGACTACTATTTAGAAGACAAGAAAAAGTAAAAATGATGGATGTCTTAACATTTCTTGTCCTCTCTCACTTCCACATTGGTTCAATGTTACTA